ATCCAAATTTCGGACCTTTTAATTTATTGTTAGTATTATCTGTTGAATTCAGTTGTTTATTGGATAGGAAAAATTGGAACAAAATTCCCACTTCTCACTACTTTCCACTTTTTTAAGGAAAATTTGATGATTTTCCTCGAACTTCCATCACATTGCATCGAAAATTGCAAACCATTCAAAAGATTCACCGAATGCGAAGATTGTGAAAGAGAGAGGAAGAAAACTTCTATGAAAAAAAAACACGAATTGAATTGGAAATTTGGGAAATTCTCAAGTAAAAATGAGAATGAAAAACCGAAAAATGAAAAATCGGAGTATAATCATTCAAAAATAACGGAATTTCACATCATTTTATTGAAAAAACAGGTAAAAATATCGTATAAATGATACAAATCCATAAAATAGTGCCTATTTTGATGAGATCACTCGAAATTTTTGCAGAAATTTTTCTAAAATTCCAAACTTTTTGAAAAATTCACCATTTACCAGAACAAAACAGTGCAACACAACAAGAGATACAACTAAATGAGACCAGAATCAGACTCTGCAAAAGATATATCCTAGCAATGTAACAGGAGAGATTCGCCGTAGTTCAATACCACATCAAATTCCTGAACACAAATAGATGGATATGAATATGGTTGTTTGGTGGAGGACCCAAGCTTCTGCTTTGACTAGTTTCGTGTCAGAGACCAGAATGCTCAGCTTGACCTCTAAACTTTAGAGCTCAAGCGCTGACCTTTGAACCACAACCACCTTCCCCCCCCCGGTCTTCGCATCTAAGCAAGACATCCACATTCGGATACTGTAATGCCATGTAGAAGTCGTTTACGTATGTCCGTCTCGGAAACTGCGTAGAGCACTTCGAATGGATCATATTTTGCTGGTGCACAGCACGGCTCAGTGATATTTTGCAGTAGACGTCGATGACCGTTCATATTCTCATGCTTCGCGCAACGACCAGCACAGTAGTTTGCCGAATAACCGTGTGGCGCAATAATGAAATTGTCAAAACCTGAACTGAGGAAGAATTTTACGATAGAATATGTGAACAGGGTGAGAACGGTGGGAAAATTTTTTGGGAAGTTTTGGGAAAATTCTGGAGAATTTTGGAGAATTCACTTTATTTACGATACTGAAATCAATCTTAAGCTAAAATTTTCCAAAAATGTAAAATGTTTTTGGAAAGCTGAATGCCCGAGAAGACTTCAAATTAGTTTCGGAGTACGCGAAGCTCAATCAATTCAGCGATTATATCGTATGATTGTGCTGGAATTCAACTCAT